CTAAAATAATTAAAAACAGTAATAATATTTTTTCGATTTAAAAAAAAAAAATATATATATATCTCTAAATTTTGTAAAAAAAAATTATCATTATTTACTAAATATAACTGGAATTTATAAAAAGTCATTTACGGATGAATATTTGGTCGAAATTTTTAAATCCTTTTGACGCTATTGCTTCGAATTTTTTATAAAAAATTTCACAATCTTTATCTTTAAATACGCCATTTTCATATGTGTGCCTTAATAATATAGTATTCTCTTCTTGTTATCGGAATGATTTTTTCAATCAAGTATGAAATATCGGTTAGGTTACATCAATAGAGATAAAATCTTCATATCTTCTATCGCTGATCACCGGTATAATCGTATTATGCAGCTTCAAACGTAATCTTAATTATAACCTCATTCTCAAAGAGAAAAACCACTATGTATAGACGAAAAGTTCAGAGCACTCAAAAATCCGCGAAGATGAGTTTTTCAATAACACATATTTCACCATGATTAATCTTGCTTCAATGGTAATCTTATTAAAGTTACAGTTACACGATCAAGAACTTGCTTTCGAGTTGATCACACAGACTACTTGTCAAAATTGTTTTAAATTGACAGCCGTGACATAAGCTGCAAGAAATTTTACCGAAAACCACTTAAAATCCATTGGCAGGAAATTAATAATACATTGTGCCATTGAAGTACCCGGAAATATGAAAATCTAGATTCTTGAATAGTCTGATTTTTGATTTCAGCAAAAATTGATTGATATGCCTATATTTGTCGTAGGTTGCATTTTATATTTCGGAAATCTGTTGTTGTTCCGAAAACTATTTATGCTGTGCGCAAAATGATATTGCAAGAACATTATGTGAATATTTCAAGGTAAAAAACTTTCACGGTCGATCCCACACAATTTGCCGATTGCTCAAAAGAAGATTAGTCAAGAGAAGTGTAAAAAAAAATACGATAGCGGTGCTTCGAAACACGGCTGTGACATCGTGGCAGATGGTGAAATGTGAATTTATGCGTATGAGCCTGAAAGTAAACAGCAGTCGACTGTCTGGGTGTTTCAAGATAAGACAAATCCAACAAAAGTGGATCGCCCCAAATTGTTGCCTGTTTTTTTTTTTTTTTGTTTTTTGAAAAACTAGACATGTCGCAAGTGGAACAACGCAGAACGGTAAATTCTGAATGGTATATAAAATTTACTTTTTTGCCAGTTGTCCAGAAAACCAACCGTCGAAAACGGATCACTCTGTTGTGCCTGAAACAACTTCTTTGAGCACTTAAGACATCGATTTGACGAGTTATCCACAATGTAGTCCGTATATGGCACCGAATGATCTCTTTTTACTGCTGTTAACAAAAAATAAACTATGGTAGTCAATGTCTTTCGACACCTGAGACGGTTGATGTGTTCGAAAGATATATTTTGGAGGCACCTCAATCAGAGTGGCAAAAGAACTTCGACAATTGGGTGAAACTCATGCAAAATTATATAGATCTTAATGAAGAATATTTTGAAAAAAAAAAATAAAAAAATTAATTAAGCGATTTTCGATTAGTAAAATGTGTGTTGTTCTCTAATTTCGGAATATAAAAGGCAGTTTGAGTGTGAGTTAATGTATTGCAACTTAAAAGATATTTCTTGATCATGTAACCTTCGGATAAAGAAGCGTACTCAAGCAGAAAGTGTTAAGATAATTCTACCTAACTATTATCCACAGAACTTTGGCAGAGGGGATCAAACAGTTTGTGCTTTTTAAATGAGCTTCTTACAAGTGCCGAGAGCTGCCAGAAATTTGTCTCTGTATTTCGTTTAATGCACAGACCTAATGTCACTCATTGTTATTGGACGAAGTCATGTAATTCATGACCACTTGACTATTACAAATTTTCATGTTTTTTTAAATTAATATAACAAAATAAGCATGGAATCACTATAATATTAATATAACGGTGAAACAATAAATCCATCTGCAACTTAATATTTCTTACATTCTCTGATCTTTGCTGATCTTTAAAAGCCCTACGACTAAATATTCAACTTAGCAACTTTATAAACATAAAATACAAAAAAAAAAAAAATATGTATTAAATAAATAAACTTTGTTAAACAAAAACTAAACTAAACTAGCCTCAGTTGATTTTACGAACAAATTAACTGAAATACCATGAAGCAAAGTAATGGAATTCACATTCCCACGCTATTAAAAACCAAGTAAATTATATAATGTTTTTCTTCCACAGCAATGCGTAGCTTCATATGTTTTCTTACAGAGTTCAATTCGTGCTCCAGAATACGCAATTCTAGTTTATAGTTTTTTTTATGTTTGTATATAATTTTTTATTGGGGTGTTATTAGGGTGGGTTAAAAAACGAATATTTGTCTTTGTTTGTTACTCTGAAATATAAGTTCTTAGACAGCTCTAAGAAAATCTCTACAAGCATGAGCTCTTAATTGCAACTGGCGGGTCCTCCGCCTTACAGGTTCCTTTTTTTATTATCAGACAGAACAACATGTGTATATCCCCTTCCAACTATTTGAAAAAAATATTTCGTTTCATAAATCTCTTGCAATTTTAAATCAAAACTAAAGGATAAATAAGTATTCGCATAAATATATTTAATGCCAGCCTCAAATCAATATTTATACAGAAATGCCACGCGTTACCAAACTCACTATAGAAGAGCAGTCCCAAATACTGGCATTCTCAGAAACTGCAATATTCATAAGATCCCAAAAATTATGATAGAACACCTCGAACAAGCCGAACACCTTTAATAAAAGAAAGAAAGGGAAGTTCGACAAATCAGGCGGTTTAATAAGAACGTAAGCCCTTCGCAAATTCGGTGTCAATCATCTCTTACGTCCAACAAATCTTGAAAGCAGATAACACCATTTGATTTGAAAAGAGAAGTGCTAAATCTAGACACAAGTTGGCGCCACTTCAATTTGCAGAACAATACCTTTTTTGCCACAATGACGAGAAAAATTTAATTTAGATGTGCCCGACGATTTTCCATATTACTATCGTGATATACGTTGTGAGAAAGCAACCCCGATTCGCCAGAAACTTTGAAGGAGGAACACCTATGATATGGCCGGATTTGGCTATCATGGAAAGACTTGCGTCACACAAATTGAACTCAGAAAACTATAAGGAGATTCTGAATAACGTGTTAGTGCAGTGTGGTGAACAATATAGGTGTGAAACATGGATTTTTCAACAAGATAATGCAACAATTCATAGAGCTGCGACTACTCGATGGTATTTGGCAAACAAAACCGTTAATGTATTGAAATGGCCGGCAGTTAGTCCGGACCTAAGTCCCATTCGATATTGCGTTCAACAGTTATAGACGTGTAAACATGGAATTCACTAACGCCGAAATTCGCCCTATTTTAATGTTTTCCTTCGTTAAAGGTAAATCCGCCAGAGAAACGTTCCGTGAGATTAATGGTATTTTGGGGGATGTTACTCTATCACCTCGAACTGCGGAGGAAAGCCAGTCGGTGGAAGACCAGTGACGACGAATATCGATCAAACCAAGGAAAACATTGAATTAGACCGGAACGTGACATCGCCCAGAAGATGGGAGTTAGTCACCAAACCATTTGAAACCATCTGCAGAAGGTTGGACACACAACAATACTTGATGTTTGGATGCTGAACTCTAGCCATTTTTGAAGCTTATGATGACTGGCGATGATATAAGGATCACATACGACAATATAAAGCGAAAAAGGTCGTGGTCGGAGGCCGGTGAATCGTTCCAAACAGTGTCCAAGCCGGGATTGACAGCCAAGAAGGGTTTGCTGTGTATTTGGTAGGATTGGAAGGGCATCATTTATACATTCCTAACATCTATTGCGAACAACTGCACCGCTTGAAGCAGGCGATCGACCAGAAGCGTCCAGAATTAGCCGACAGGAAGCATGTAGTGTTCCACAAGAGTAACGCCAGACCACACACTTCGTTGATGACTCGTCAGAAGCTACGGGTGCTCGGATGGGAGGTTTTATCGCATCCACCATATAGCCCAGACATAGCGCCAAGTGATTACCACCTGTTCCTGTCCATGGCGAACACCCTCGTTGGTGTAAAGTTGAACTTAAAAAAGGCATGTGAAAGTGGCTGTCCGATTTCTTCGCAAAATAAGGAGGGGGGCATCTACGAAGGGGGTATTATAAAGTTGCCGTCTAGATGGAAACAGATTATCGAACGAAACGGCACATATTTGAACTAAATCCAATCACTGTGACACTTTTTATAAAGCATTGCATAAATAGCAAAAAGGCGGAAGCGAAGATATTTAACAACCTTATATTACTTAAATCATATAATATTTAAATTAAAAAAAAAAAATTAACTCCCTGTACTTGGTGAGACTTTCTTAAAAGTGTCTAAGAACGTATTTTTCAGAGTTTCAAAGGAAAAAAAATTATTCGTTACTTTTGACACAAATTATTGCATATACAAAAAAATTTTTTAATAAGTTGCATTAGTTTTTTGTGTATTGGTGTGTTGTAACTGTTACTATAAACGGCATAAATGCATATTTTCTATTTACCACAAGATTACACTTCGTAAATATACGCTAAAAGCATTTTTGAATGTGTATATATTATATAATATTATGTATGTATGTATCATCAGCCACTAAACGCTTTGCAGCAGCTAGAATAGCCATTTTTGCACATTTATAAAATATGCTAACGTTCTTTAACGTGTTGTTGTTTTTTTTTTTAGGATCGGGAAGCCTATTGCTCTAACTATTGATACCTTCATTTTCTTTAAATATTTGTATAAGTATGTTGTATGTTTGTGTATATAAATCTATAGGTTTTGGAATGTTTCTCTTTACTGCTTTTGTAGGTTTAAAGCGCACGCATGCGCGGATACATTTTCGGCGGCGTCCACAGCGCGACGCCTAATCACTATTTTTATCCTGAATGTGTTTCGTTTTCCACAATTTTTGCCTCCCTGAAATTACTCACTGTTTACTTACGCGAAACTTGAAATTTCTTAGCTTTTGTAGGTGTGTGTGTGTGTATACATATACTTAGCGCATGCGCTCAACCGTTCGGGTCGACGTTGAGACGACGATGCGCGCCGCTGATCGCCACACTAAAAGCATTGCTATTACTGCTCGACGCCGATGTAGACGCTGACGTTGCAGCCGCGGTAAACGGCGGCGCTGTCGTGGACCATGGATTCACTGACGCGGCCGTTGCAGCAGTGGCTTTGGCTGTGGCAGCCATTGATCCAAAGGCAGGAACTATGGAATTGTTGCGCGACTTATTATTGTCCGCAGTGGATTTTTTCAGCTTAACCGAAGCGCCGCGTTTCAGCTGATTGGCGGGACTAACTAGAATTGTAGAAGTACTTTTTTGGTTGGGCGCATGCATGGTGGCAATAGTTGTGGTCAGCATTGCAGGCTTCTGAAATAAAATTTAAAGTAAATACAAATATGATTGCTGAAAAAAAAAATGAAATAAACACTCACTTGCCAAGCGCCTGCCTTAGTTGTTGCTATACCAGCCGCATCGCCTGCCACTGTCGCACTCGCTGCCGTTCTGGCCACTGTTGCTGCCTTAAAACCATTTGTTAGTGCGGCCGCTACGGCAGCTTCGCTGGTGGGCGTCAATGTTGCCGCGACCTCTTCGTCCGCGAGCAGACAGATCACATCATTCGATTTGGAATGTTTGGAATAATTCGCATGGAACTGTTTTTTACTACTATTACTACTACTACGACTACCGTTAGGACCACTGCTACCGCCACAGCTGTTACTGCTAAAACTGCCGCTGCGCTGTTGGCCGGCTACGCCGAGCGCTAGCGTAGTTGGTGGCGTTGACATGAGTGGCAGCGTGTTGGGCGGCACGACATAACCGCTTGCATCACCCGCGCCAGCATCACCGCCATTGTTGGCATAATTACTTGAGGAACTATGTTTGGGCAGCGCCGTGGCCACGGTATTGGGCGGCGTCTGCTTGAAGGGTATGAAGAAGGGATGTGCACCATCCGGTGGTGCCTTTTCGGGCGTTGAGCTGCACAGCGGCAGCTGCGATATGTTCGCCCGCCCATCCAACTCATAATCGTGCTGTGTGGCATTGGGATTTGGCTCCACTTCGACAGTGAGTTGACGTCGCACAACATTACCATTACCATTGCCATTCGGTAGTTGCGTGGTTTGGTACTCTTTTGGACGTGCGGCATGTATGTCGACATAGCGACCACTTTTCGGTATCAACGTCTGCATTTCATGACAATCCTGTTGGAAGGTGCTGCCGCTTAGGCCACCAGCACTTTCACTGGGTATACTGGGATTATTCAGATTACCGAAATTCATCTCTGATGGCGAGCTAAGATGTGTGGGACCTTGCGTGCGCGCCTTATAGCGTCGTCTTTGAAATATGATAAGCAAGGCGAAGACCACTACGCAAACCACAGAGAGCAGTGAGCCGATAATAACGCCGCTATAGACCTCCGATTCGCTGGAAGGGCATTCAATCTCCAGTGAATGGTGACTTATGCTACGCAAGTCAATGAAAATCGGTGCGCCCACACCGGTTTCGCCGACAACGCGCACAGTTACATTGATTTTCGCCGTCTCGGAGATATTCGGAAACTGTGCGGAAGAGTTTATGGTTATTCTCATAATAACTTACCCGTAGTGGTTTACTTACCTTAAAGGAACATGCAGTACAGTCCAAAACGTTAACCTCGTGTGTTACATTGCCCAAGGTCCACAGTATGTTGTAGTGATGAATTTTGCCGTTGGGCTGCAGAGGTGGATCCCAAAGCAACTTTAAGCCATTGTGTCGTATAACGCGTTGATTGCTGATCGTTCCCGGTGCTATTGACGGTGAAAATATGTTAGGTTTACCTTTCGAAAAGTTTATGCATTTACAACTTACGATCCGGCAATGTTTGCCTGTCCACTTGTCCATAGAATGTTTGTGTTTTGCAGCTGAAGAAATTGACACGATAACGCTCGGATGGCTTGAGACCGCGTATAACCACTTGTGAATTGGTTATCGGCAGTTGGTCACATTTCGGCTCCTCTTTGCGTATAATGGGGAACTGTATCTGCCAGTGACACGCGTGTACGCATGATTCATTGAAATGTTCGTGAAAGTGAAAGGTAAGCATGCGTGACTCCACTATGCTGAGACGAAACGGTGTGTTGGCTAGCTCGTTGGTGTCGTTCTCGATCTGTGAAATTTTCGTTTTGATTAAGTACACAAATGCAAAATGATATCGTCTACGGTTGGTAAAATACATATTCCTATACTTTTTGGACTTGTTACATAACCAAAAGATAGTAGTTATACTTATATAACCTTGAGAAAATGAAATAAATGTTCTACTAACGGAGTGTTAAAGAATAGAGGTACTTAGACGCTGACTGAGGACTCAAAATATAGAAGATACATGTTTCCTAGTTAATGCTATTTTGTGGACTAACTAGAGCTCAGTCACAGCTGAATACTCCCTAATGACGATGGTCGAGACAGACAGGAAACAGCTCACCCATGCCGCAGTTTATGCCATGTTTGTTGCTCCCTAGTAGTATAGCACTCAAATATGAAGTCTTACCATGGGTGAGGATAAAAAAGGGCTGGTTCAAGATGTCATGCCACCAATGTCAAGCATACGTCGTTTTAGGTGCAATTAAATAGCACAGTATCAGGGGTTACTTCCTAGTACCCACTGTAATAAGGTAGAATTACTTGCATAGCCGTGACTTTGCGCAAGTAGACCTTCTGGAAAAAATAAGGAGCTAAGTGTTTTGCCGTCAAAGTACAGCTTGAAAACAAGGAGGAATACAAGATGCAAACAGTAATATTGCTAGTAGTATATCTGCTAGAGAATGGCTTATTTTTACGGTCGATGGCCCAGCTAAGGCAAGCATGCGGAGTCATGTTGTCTTCTTGATAAGAAGAATACAGCTGCAATCGCCAACCAATGAAGAGCTCAGAAAAGAGCTCCAGGAATCTCCAGGAGTGATTCTGGTCAATTTCAAGTTTGAACTGCTAAAGGTGGCAGCTGAAAGACAGAGGTCAGTTGAAGAGGTTAAACCGTTAGTCTAAAGAGTGTGGCACCCTCCAAATAGTGAGCTGAAATGGCCCTGAACCGAATTATTATTGATGTACAGGGTGATCATGAACCTGAAGTAAAATTCCCAGAGCTAAATGGAAGTGAAAGCAAGATGCGCTGACAAATTTGGCGGTGAGAGCTGTCGGCTGGTACCACGGATAAATCAAAATGCTGGTATGCGACGAAGTAAGAAAGGTCCAACTGTACAAAATCGGTATAGTGAGGGTTGAGAAGATTTATATTAGCAGACTGAGGATAACGAGCTACAAATTATACGTGACAAACTACGAAGGGCATGTATGATATCGATCGGCTCCACCAAATAAAAGAAAACTCGGTGAAATTTGGAGATTTATATATCAGGATACCCAGTCGTATACAAGTAAGAATAAATCAAAGTTAAACAATTTAATATTGTTCTAATAGCGTCTCATATGCATTCGCTGAGCCCGAACCATCTCCAAGCTCCCTTTCACCTAAGCTGGATCCGTCGAGTAGAGATTTGAGAATATTGTTAAGCTTGGTTAACAAGCGTTATCAGACTGTCAAAAGTATTCGCCGGATAAAATCAAATTCCACTTTGCGATAGCAGAACTTCCGGAATAAAAAATTTACATAAAAGTGGGGAGAGAGCACCAAGGAGGAGACTCTTTTTTTACTTTTTCTACTTTTACTTTCTAATATTACTTCGTCGGATGAATTAAGCTGGCCATTATAAATAAGAAGATAAAATAGGGTAGACTTTCATATATACATATGTACATATGCATATACTCGTAAGATATTGGAAAAATTTAGATACAAAATTAAGTCCATTATATGAAATTGTCAATAAATGGTCAAACCATAACCATAAGAAATATTTTTTTTTTTTTTAAGAAAAAAACATTGATAAAACTTACCGTTTTCCACTGAACATAGCGAAAGTCCTGCTTTAGATGTTCATTTTCACGCGTGATAATTAGGACACGTAATTTTATGCGATTGAAATTTTCCAACAAAACACCCGTTACATTGGACAAAACTACCAAACTGAAAATTTCTTCCTCCAACTCCACATGACTGTTGTTATCAATATAACCTGCCTGAGCGCTCCTCAAGACCGCACGCGTCTGTGCTTCATTGAGCGCTTCAATATCACAGAGCTTCTGAGCGACATCCTCCTGCGCGAGGTCCACGTGCTGCACAGTGCCACGTAGATGCTGACTAAGCAATTGCTGCGGATGCGGTTGTGTGTGATTGCCGGAGAATTGGAGTATAAAATACTTCTTGCCCTTCAATTCCGGCTGTGACCAAGTGACAAACGTATCATTGCCCATATGTACCAAATGTAAGAGTACTGCTTATGGAATAAGAATGGGAATACGAATGATATAAATTAGTTGACATTTTTTTACTATGCACCCTCCCAAATGAACAATAACTCACAGCCTTGCGTGCAGCATGTCACCGGTGGGCTTCTTAATGAGCTGAGTATTGTCTGTTGTTGCGTCTTGTTGGCCAAGCGTATCTCCGATGTCGGCACTAGTACGCGTGTGATCAGCTCAAAGGGACGGTAAACGGGTAGGTGACTTGAGATGACCAAATGTGAGGTATGATTTAGTTTCATCGGTGCGAATGGGGAGATCCAACGATGCGGATTATTCTGCACAATGTGCACAATGAAGAGCGACTGTACAAAATATTAATGCAAACATTAATGGAAAATAAATAATAATAATTATTAAGAGTCTACCTCAAAAAAGTTGCTCTCAAAAGTCACATTGATCGTATTAAAGCTGAGCGCATAGCAGCGTATATTCTGCAGTGGATTCTTCAGCAGCAAACCATCGTCTTTGTTGCGGAAACGCAACTCGCCCGCACTGTACACCTCTCCGGCGATATTTCGTGCAAAGCATTGATAAATGCCCGCCTCAATTGGATCGAAGGAGTGTAAATGCAGTTCATTGCCAACAATGTAGCGTGTGTAGGAACTTTTGAGAGGAACCCCATTGTGATACCAGCTTATTACCGGCCGGGGATTGCCGGTGGCGTTGCAACGAAATTGCAAAGAAGCTGTTATCAGTATTTCGTACGAGATAAGCGGCTCGACGATCACCGGCGGTGCGGTAACGATCACATGAAAAGTCTGCAAACGAAAGTAAAAACGAATTTAGATGAAAAAAAACCGACATATCGATCCCAAATTTATATTTAACTATATTTTATGTCTTTTAAAAATGAAGAGAAATGCGGAAGTCAACTATTAATTTGTAAAAGATAGCTAGAAATACCGTTATCCTTTCGCAGTACCATTAATTCCATAATAATAAGTTGATCAATATTGATTTCTTGTTCATTCTTACCTGATTACTTTGTCCACTTATGCAGCTGTAGTAACCTTGATTCAACTGGCTTGCGTTCTCTATAACAATTTCATTACTGTGATTACTGATCTTCAGCGCCGCATTATTCAATGTGCTGCGATACCACCACTCAATCAGCGGTCCGTCGATCTGATTGTAACAATGTAACAGACAACTGCCACCCGTTGGAACGTACTGCGTCTCATTCTGTAGACTGGGTAAGAGCTCATTTTGGCTAGTGGGTATGGGATCATCGAACACATTGAAAGCCCACCTGAACAGCGTTTTGGAGGCGAACTGATTCTGTGCTAAGCATCTGGAAGATACGATAAATAACGAAATCAACAATCAGTAAGAAATCAAATAAAGTTATATGAATTTTTTTATTTTTTAAAGTTACTGAATATGTTTAGTACATAATGACAATGTTTTTCTTCTAGAATTTAGACGTATTTTCTTATTAAATATATACCCGATATGAACATATTTCTTATATATATTTTCTAACACCTGGAGATCACAGCGCCTTCCCTTAAAATTTCCTTTTTCCAATTTTTTCCACCAATTTCCTTTAATTTATTTCTTCATAATAGCAATAATCAAATAACAATCAGTGTCTTGCAGGAAAATGGTTTACATATATGAAGTATATTATGCATATTTGGCTTATATTATATGTATGTCAGTAATAGCTTACTTTTACGTTGAGCATTTATTTTTTATTGCCCCTAATGATGGATACAGTCCAAAAAATGAATATGTGACGACGATTAACCTAATAGATAACGGGGCCCTCGTGCACGTAAGCACATCCATGAATGAGAGGGTATTACTATGAACGAAGGAATACCCTATAGGGAAAGCAGGTAACCAAAAAATCGAATAATATGATATCTTAAAGACACAAGATTTTAATTTTCAATTCAATGGAATACATTTTGGTGTATTTTTATTGCAGAAGAACGTGAGAAGCTTTTTTTGACAGATCGCGCATAAGTCATCTTACGTTGTTATGTTACTTTTTTCAACATAATTGTTCTATTGAGCGTACTCTTGAGACCCAGCGTTTATTATTGGATAATATTCGACCGAATAGATCATGTCCAGTACACAAAGACCGTGGAGAGTCGATTTGGCGCCGTTCGCAGCAATTCGGACTGACAGCAAATGCAAGAAATAAAACCACTCGACCTTCCTTCGCTTTATGGGCTTTCCAAGAAGATTTGACGTTTTCGAGGCAAATTTTGTTCAGCAATGATGCCCATTTCTGGCTCAATGAGTATCTAAATAAGCAAACTTGCCATATTTTGGACGAAGAGCAACCTGAAGAGATTCAACAGCTGTCATTTTATCCAGAAAGAGCAACAGTTTTCTGTGGTTTGTGGGCCGGTGAAATCATCATCATACCTGAAATTGAAGTTCGTAATCTCGGCGACATTTGGCCACTTCAATCAATGGATTTATTGAGAGAACACTTCGGTGAGCAGATAACTTCACTTTTTGTGCCGGTCGATTGACCACCAAGATGTTATGATATCACACCGCTACACGTTTTCCTGTGAGGATATGTAAAGTCTAAAGTTTATGTGGTCAATCCAGCTTCGATTAAGGCCTTGTAGCAAAACATCACGTGTGTCTTTATCGAAAATTGGTTTCAACGGATGGACTATCTGAGATAAAGCCTTAGCCAACATTTGAAATGTTGACAATGTTTAAAAAATAAATGCCAAAGAATATTTTATCAAATAATAATAAACATACCCCATTAAATTTGAAGTGTTTATTCTTTAAAAAAGTAGGGAACCTCGAAATTGATCACCCTTTATACTCAAGTAAGAATAATATACGTGATTTATTTGGTATAAAACTTGTTCAGTACAATAAAATCCTTCGCCGAACCTTCCCGCCAACTCATTATATAGAAAAAAGACAACCAGGATTAAGCTAAACGATACATTGGTCCAGGCAACCTGAAATGAAGTTCAAGAAAAACCATTGCTACATGCAGACATGACTACTATTATGGTATCAGTAGATCTTTTGCTCCCGAACGCAACTTCGTAGTTAATAGAGTAAAGACTAGCCTAGATTAGTGTAAATACCAATTAATATAGAAATTAAGTATAGAGCTGCTGTAGAGCTTGTAAAGGAACTTTCGGCTGATTATTGACTGAATAGGAACGTATTAGAATTCCGGCGTCTTTTTCCGTTTCTTACTGGATGACTAAGTCTTACAAAGGCTTGACAAAGCTCTAATTCTCCGCGTTAAATTGAAAACGGTTTATCAAGTTATTAAAAACTTCTGCAAGAGGTCCATAGTCTGGATCTCGACATCTTTTATGTATCGACTCAACACATTTTGGTGTTTGCTCGTATCAAAGGACCTGATTTTTTTAATAAAACTGAATATTAGTATTTAAGATCTCTTCTCACAAAAGATGTTTAAAATGCATCATTACTAATGACAAGCTGTGAGTTTATGCATAAGACGTCAAGCCTAACAGACGAAACTTCGAAACTGAGCGATCGACGAAAAAACCAAAATTCGCTGACGGAACTGAAGATCATCTTAGACGGGCCTTATAAGAAGCCTTTGGAATATTGGCATGCTTTTATTGGCTCAAAATCAGCCAATTTCGAAAGAGATAATAAAGATTTGTATTAAAATATGTGCAACTATGTTTTGTCAGTCCGATCCAAACTCTAATGATGGTATTGCTTTGTTGCCGTTTGTAAATATTGTTTTGAAAAATGCAAAGTAGAATCATCGCATCACTTGCTAAGTATATGTTTCATCTTTGCGGGATCAAGACTGAAATATTTTGGCGTTTTCCGGCGAGCAAGTATTTTCTTTTTTTCACAATTGGCGCCAATTTGAGATTCCACGCGAAGCCAGGTCCTACTCCACCTAATCTCTCTAACGGAGTGGCGAGTCTGCTTCCCCCGGTGGGTAATGCATTGACATGCCCTAGCCATCGTAGCTGTTGTCTCTTCGCTGGTTCGCTGAACTGTGTCAATGTCATTGTATATCTCGTACAACACATCGTTCAATCTAATCCGATATTCGCCATTGCCAATGCCCAAAGAACCATAGATCTCCCGGAGAACCTTTATTTCGAAAACTCGTAATGTCGACTCATCAGATGTTGTCATCGTCCATTGTTTTCTGGCTTTACTTGAGAATTCGCAGTTAAAGTTCTCATCTCAGTGATCACCTACAGCTTAACCTAACGTAACCTGGCTCGGTCCTAGTCCACTTTTCCTACAGGTACATAGCATACATATGCACATCTATAAACATTTTCGATTTCCCCTTGAACTTGTTTGACAGTATTTAAGTCGCGCACCCCAAAAAACGGTGGCTAAAATAACAGCTTATAAGCCGTAATTATGCTCTACTTTCCACCGCACCCAAAAAAACAGACTATCCTAGCGCACCCTAGCTTTGCCCTATACATAACAAACTTTGCCGTTCGGCGGCGAGTCCCCACAACTGCTGTGCTTTGAATTCCTCGGCCAGCAGCTGTCAGTCGGGCGGCTAATGTGTGGTTGAATGTTAATTGCGACAATTCCGCTCATCGTTGGAGTGCGAAATTTGCAGCTTGTAAATATTTTGCTACCGTCTACTCTGCCGCACGCTTTTAAATTACGCTCGCATTGTTGCCATGCTTTTTTCGCCTTAGCGGTTTCTATGCGTGTTACCCTCACATAACATAAATAAAAAAGTATTAAAGGTGAGTGCGTATGCCCGTGTTGTATCACAGTGGTGTCTCTAATTGTTTTAGGCAATTTCTAGCATTTGCTTTGCGCATGCCAATAAGTTTGTGTGTAAGACTAGTTGCATGCCACATGCCGCATAGCACAAGGCAAGCATAACGTGCTGCCTTCGTTTATTCGCACTTGTTGGTGTTTTCAGTGGTTATCTTCGTAGCACCAACTACTTGGACGCGCAGCAGTGACGTCAACAGCGTTTGTGGCAGCAGCTGCTACAATAACAAGAGCAACACCCGTCAACATTATCAGCAAAAGTGTTAATAAGAACATGTTTTCTCGAATACCGTTTGGCGCTTAGCGAAACATTCATTTTGTTGTATTTATTATTGTTCTGCTGCACCAACGCATTACCCAATTGGCAATTAGAGCGGCCAGAGTAGCGTAAAACTACAATGCAGCGGACAAAAGGAGTTGTGCGGCTTGTAATATGCCGCGACAGCAGCTGCTCATGTTTGTTTATGTTGATTTTGATGTTTAATGAAAGGTGTTGATACTTGTTGCATTACAACAACATAAAAAACAACAATGCGTCCAGTTAAGCTGATGCATGATTCGTTACAATGTAACGCACGAAACAAGTTCACAATAATGATATATAATCATGCGATAACAACAAGTTGAATTATGGACAGCTTATGCAATTAACCATATCTTTCAAGTCTACTTTAATGTTATTACAATTTAGGAATCCCCTTTGCATAAATTTGTTTTATTTTTTATACACTTGTAACATGATCCAGAAGGGCCGAGTAGTTCCGCTTGAAAGGCGGTCCTTTGTGGCTCTCTGAGAAAACCAGCTGGATGAACAATAATAATAGACAAATTGAAAACTTCGCATTGTTTTGAGGAAAATCACATCACCTGAGGAAATCAATTTTAGTATTCAACATAGTTCGCTTCAGGGCCGATACACCGAATTTAGTGATCCCCCATTATGAAAAAATAAAGTCCACCGTCAACAAACTAATTTAACCTTATCAGTGTGGCTTCAGGAGTGGCAAATCAACAACTTCGAAGCCGTAGATAATTTCGTCTATCATGGAACCAGCACCAGCAACAACGACAACCTCGAAATGAAACAAGTGCTACTTAGTAGGCAAAAGAGAAGTAAAGTTCTCTCTTGACGAACAAAAGCTCAGTTATTATCCCCAATCTGCTGTCTGGTGCAGAGATATGGACGATGACAACATCTGAGGAGTCGGCGTTACGAGTTTCGAAGAGAAAGGTTCTGCGGATGATTTATAGTGCTTTGCGCATTGACAATGGCGAATACGATATGAGCTGTACGAGATATATGCACGACAGCATTGACGTAGTTCAGCGTTCTCCAATCTATTGGAAAGACCAGGTGGAGATGGACCTGACTTCGCTTGAAATCTCCAATAGCGCCAAACAGAGAGAAGAAAGACCGACTGGTGCATTTTTGTAAACTCGACTATAACAGAGTACGCGGTGTCTACGTCAATAAAGAAGAAGTTTAGCTCTTTCAGTAATTTGCAGCTATGCTTGTAGAACATCGGCCCTTTAACGTTCCTTTTATTTTTGAAAATAGGAAAAAATCACATGTCTGACTGGAGCGTAGTTGTATTCTCAGCCTCGTATGAATACAGTTGAAAGTTTTATCGTACTTCAGAGGCATGTCTATTTATGCATCAACCTAATAAAAAGCACTTTCCTTTAAAATCCCGTTATCATCCTTTTCTTTAAATGAATGAACCTCAATTTTGTTGATTCACTCTTCACTGTCACTAAAAATACTTCTTCTTTTCTTTATTTCGAAGACTGGAAAATATCCGACGGATGTAGAAAAAATTTCAGGCCTAATTATCACAATTTTGCGATCATGTCCATTGAATTGATTACAAATCTTTCGTATATTTAAATTTTCTAAAATATAGCTTTGACTGTCATTAAAAATTATGTCATTGATTTTTTTCATTTTCCACTACTTTCATTGCCTGTGGTGATCATATGGTCAGGTTTGGTTAACTAGATGATCGTTGTGACAGGACTACTGAAAGGCCTTCTAAATAGAATATTTGAATTGTCGTCAACTTTTAATTTTAAATCAATCATTAAAGAACAATGCGCCTCGAGCCTGCCAAAAATTTATTATTGCCGTTAATATGAAATTCGGCCAATCAGCCAGGTTCGCCGAAGGTGTAGAAAAAAATATATCGAATGCTGAAAGCTTCGTATTAATTTTTATCAAGAAATATTATTCGCTGGAAATGATGGAAGTCAACGACGAAAAAAAAATTTTGTTGTTCCAGGAAACACAATTACATCTCCAAAAATTTATAGTTCGCCGAGAATTGTGATATGGCGGCATTATCGGACCCCATTCCTTTCTAAATAAGGCAAGAAATACCGTTACAAGCGTTATAGCACGATGTTGGCCGACATTTTTTTCCAGAAATTTGATTAAATCAATGCACACGATATTCATTTCCAACAAGACCGTGCCGCCGCCTCATGTTTTACGTCTAAACATGAACAAATTGTGTGCAAAATTTGGTCCTCTAAATGGTCATCAAGATCATGCTATTTAAAGCCTCTAGATTATCTTTTGTGTAGATATGTTAGATCAAAGGTTTACGCCAATCAACTTTTGAACTTTACTTTACAACTCTACCTAGTATTTAAGAATACATAACTGTGCAAGAAAGATCTTATCAAATGCAAGGCAATTCAATACGGAACGTTGGCCATATTTCCGAAATATATATTTTTGTTTATCAAAGATAAGTAAATTGTAATGTAGTATACTTTCTTTTATGACATCCACTTTGAGCAAAAGTTTTATAAAAGTCCTATCTGTCCAGCCAGAGGCCCTCTAAAATAAATAAATTTCCACAGAGTTCTAAGTATTTAACAATTGTAAACCGAATATAATACTGTCGGTATAACTTTGTACCACTTTTCTCAACACAGTACTGATCGTCTCTTTACTCTGAACACCTACTAACTCTTATAGACTCAAGCCACATAACATACGTTACGAAGACCAAGGTGAAAATTTGGAAGAATCAGCTGTCATGGTTTGTTCACCAAAACTTCTTTCGAATACAATTATACTTCCGCCCGCTGTCTGGAGTCACAAATCAATCGCTAGTAAGGCTCGCCTTTGACGTTTTCAGTTTCAAAAAAAACCACTATGATTTCAGCATGCAAAACCGGATAGCTTTTGAATACAAAGCAAAGTGGAAAGTATTTTTACAAATAATTTCGTATTATACCCTTTTGGAAACATGGATCCAAGGACGTTTAATCTGCCAAACTGTACTTAACAAAAATTTCAAAAGAATTTTTTTACTTACATAGACATTTGGATTATGTTGCCTAGCTGTAATTAATTTAGCTTTAAGAATGTATATAGTTTCTTATATTAAATTGATGTCTTAATGTTAAATCATTAGATTTTTTAAGACCATATTTTATTTGAAAATGTATTTTGATTAACAAATAATTAAGTTTATGAATTTTAGTTCATTTTGTCTACAATTATTATTTTATCTCTTTTTCTGTTCTCGAAAATAAAAATTGCTCTGATAAACTCAAAGATATTTACAAATTTTATCTGCAGTTGAAAACAATTTAATATAAATTAAAATCAATACTCACTTATAACGCCCCGCTGCGTCCAGAGTCAATTTCCGTAACACCAGTGTGCCATTGGCAAGTATTAAATACCTGTAAAATTACAAAAGGAAATTATTTCACTTATTAATTCCACTTCTTTAAGCATGCATCTGTATCGCTGTAAATATATCTGTCTGCATGTATGTATGTATTTGTGTGTAAAAATGAAAGGTAATGAATAAATGAAATTTGAAACTGCCACAATTACAAAGCGGAAATCACTAAGACGACGCATTCAAGCGCACAAAGAAAGTCAACGCCTTAATTAGAATGGCAGACTAACAGACGTACACCACACTTGATGATGATACCTAAAACTGGCGAACTTGATTGCTATTGCAATGTTTATCCTAATTCGGGCGATTCTAAATTGAAGAAGCTTTCTTATTCAGAAACGCATTTTACTAAGCAAATAATTATAATTAATTTAGAATTTAAATGTGGAACATGTTTATAATTAAGAATTTAATAATAGAATATTTATATTATAGAGTTTCCACAATTATGCACACAAGCTTAAATACCGTAATATCACTTTATCACACTTTTGTCGTGCAATTTTCAATGAGGCAATCCTTTTTTCGGTGTAGGGGCTTTTACAGCTATTACTTGATTTATGCTCGTGTCTGAACACTCGCAAATTTTGATTTCATACTGCACCAATTAGGTCATGGATTCGCCAAACCGAACTCTGGCGGCTCATTCTCTGCCCATATACCCATATAAAAGCGAGAGAGTTGTAGGTTGGAAGAAGCCATCGGAAAAGGTGGGCACTGGGTTAAAGCTTGGGGGAAAGGTCGGTTGAGGGTTTACTGTCAGAAGCTTTCTATCAACTCCAGCTTCAGATTTCCTGACTATTGCAGAGTTTTCCGCCTTTGCAGCCATTAAGGTAGCAGTATATTTGCAATTTGGGAGTGCAGCCTCCTTCAGAGAAGTGGCCACGGACTTAGATAGCAGAGCGGCAACACAGGCCTTAAACTCATTAACAACGTTCATGTTTGGTCAAGAAGTGCCTAACCTCGCTTTCAATAGTAGACTTTTTGTAATAAGATATGGTATATGCTATATTCACAGCAGTATCGCAGGAAATTGCAAAGCTGATGAGCCAGAAAGGTAAGATACCCAAGAACGGCTATCAGTAGAATGAGAGCGGGTTAGTGCTCTCTTTTCCCTCAGTGAGCCGAGCTACTTCTTGGTTGTGGGGGTTTTAACAGGTCATTGCGCTATTGGCGTCCATGCTGAAAGCTGGGAGTCTTACTGGGGGCTATCTGCAGAAACTGTATGGAAGCCAATGAGGAGGAAACCAATCAACACTTCCTTCTTGCCTGTCCCGCGTTTAGGATGTCAAGGCTTAAACACTTGGGAGCGCATACCTTCAGAAATCCCACCGAAGGGGCCGGAAATGGAAATTTAATTCCTGCGCAAATTTGTATTGGCGACTAATTTATAAGTTTGGATACAGAATTCACTCCTTTCTATGGCTTCGTAAAGCACCACATATATCAGCCCATTTGCGATCTCTCTAAATCAGTCTTCTAATCTAACCTTGCAAAATCCAGCTCATGTAAGAATTGAAGCCCAACCACGTTCAAGCGCATTGTACGTTCAGTAAATAGTCTGAAAACGAGACAGCCACCGATCCTGGTTTCAAAAGAAAATTTTGTTCGGCGTTAAGTACACTTTTGGTTTTTGTTTTTTACGGGAATATTTAAAGAACTGCGCAGGCTCGAGACGATTGACCCTTAGAGGAGAATGTTTAGTGCGTTAGTGCTGACAGACGGACTGACGTTAGTGATTTAAGCTATTTTGGTTATTTCGGTTTCGAAAGATTTTTGGAGTGCCTTTTGCTAGATTGTTGGACAATTTCCACGTTACATTCATGAACCACGGTTTGTTACCAGTAATGAAGCGTTTGATGTATGTAGGGTCCTCAGCTACGTTGTCAAGCATCTGTTTTGCGAACTTTAATCGACACCGTTTTTGTAAAAGAAATATATATTTTGATAGAAGTGTAATATTATACTCGCTTTATATCCAAAATAACAGCGGTGGATTGACGTTTCACAGGAGACAAGCATTCGATGTCTTCAAAATAAATAAAAGTGGTTCTAACTAGAAATGGTTATGGGTTCGGTGTGCGCGATTAGTTTACATACTTCTATGAACCAGTCTCATTCAACTTAGTTATTTAAATAAAAATTATGGAAGAAATGCAATAGATTTATTACAATATCTACTAAGAAATTTTGATTGAGCATTAGTGCCTTCTAAGAAATTTTGCTGTGGTAGATTCGATAAGTTTTTAACATTTTTTTAAATAAGTTTTAAATGTAACTAATTTTTTCAAAAAAAAAAAAAAAAAAACATAAAATACTTAAATCTATTCAAAGTGCATTCTATATTTTTTTAATTACTATTTTTCAGGGTACTTAGCGAAAAGGGGCAACAGTGACGATGGAAATTGTATTGGATTGAAAATTTGGCAACAGTGGTGGTTTTTTTTATTTTTTGCTTTTACTCGCCTGTTGTCTTTGAATTGCTTTGATAACGGTACTTTTCCATAGAACCAGCTAATATTTGCTGGTGGCACACTTACGACAGGGCATTCGAGTACGAGAGGTTGACCCGCCCCAGCGGTAATGTTTGTAGAAGCCGTTACGCGTTTGAGTACTGCAAATAAAAATGAGAAAATAGTTAAACATTATCGATTATTACACGGTATTGGTGTTGCGTTATTTACCCGGATATTCCACGGTGATGAGCACCGAAAGTATGGCCGTAGTGTTGACGTTGATTTTGCAGCGATAAGCGCCAGCGGCGCGCTCAGTGGGCGGTAGACGTAACGTGCCATTGCGATAGATTTTGAACTCGTTCCGTCCGCTGTGGGCCTCCACAATTTGGTCATTGCGATACCAGGTGTAAAAGTAATTTGTATCGTCTATGTGAAGAGTGAAAAGAGAGCAAGAGAGAGAAGGCGGTAAGAGAAGAAATATATGCTATAGATGTAGTTATTCATTCATAAATTGCTCACTGCTAAGATAGTAGTAGTTCTTCTCGATGCTGGCGTAGCACGGTAGATAATGTGAGTAGTGCTTGGTGACTAATAGTCGTGTTGTTTCTGGTTTATCGAGTTGCATAAATGGTCCAGAGATGATTTTATTACCGTTGGCGTTAACTGCAATACAAAGAACCGTAAGTGTAAACATATTGTATTCAATAAATACTAAACAAGTGTGCAAAGAAAACAAAAGCAAATCAATTGGCGTCCACTCGAATACATAATTAATCAATTAATTAAAATCAATTGCATATACATATAATAATATGTTTAGATAACATTGGCCACAAGTCAAGTGTTATTAATTAATAATGAATACTTAATTATCAGCAAGTAAAGAAGACATAAATTCGAATGCAGCCGTACTTTGTATTGCCACACTAGTTTGCGGCTGTGTTGGCATCGGTTGTTAAAACCGAAAATGATAAAAATTTTCTAACATGTAGAATTTTTTGTGTTGCAGTCAACGAGTGTAGGGGCCAAACCACCACCATTTACTAGAATGACGAAAAATAACTATACGTGATAGAAAATTTTTGAATCAAATTCGTAATCAGGGCACCTCAAATACACCCACAGTACTCTCAGCACACCAATCGAAAATTTTTCCTTCCTTTTCTAATTCTTACGAACTGATGGAATATAAAATGGTTGCTGAAAAAGGGGATACCACAAAATAAACAGGTGGTTGGAGTCAGTCTCCATGTCCAACTTTTGAACCGAGTCAGATTCAAGTCGACTCCGAAAATTTGAAATTCCTACGAATATTTCGTTAGACAATATAGTTTTCTCTTAGTAGATTTAAACTTAAATTTAAAAGGAAGTAGGCGTGGTTATTTTCCGATGCGGTCTTTAATGTGATCCACTGTATCAAATACATTTATAAAATATATAATCCGGCTGGGGGCCGTTAAAGAGCCAAGTCTCGACTTATTTGCGCAGCGTGGACTACGGGACTATGCGCTGATAAACGTGGCGTTAGAAGTTTTACTAAGCAATCCGGGTCCGCCACCGTTATATACAGATTCCGGTTGGTACCAGAGTAAAATACAAACGATTTCTTGCGACGACTAGACATCGATCGCACTATACGAAACCGCTGTAGCGAAAGTGCGGTGGAGTATATCACGGAGTTTAGCTGGTAGCGGTGAACAAAAACGACAGCCTGTCTAGGTAAGGGCCTGGAACCCGGGTACGCCATCGCAGCCGAACTAAATAATGCAATAAATCTGCTTACCGAGGAGTGGTAATTCATTACTGCTTTCCAGGACTTCAAAGCAGAATCTGGCATGAACAAAGGAATCCATTGAATCGCTTGCGAAAAGTGGCGGGGAGATCTGTTACGAAATCACGAAGGTGAGAATCATTAGTCTAGCATCGAAAAGCGACATCCAAAACCGAGAAAGGTCCCAGCGTTATCAATGTATCTCAAATTTACTTGTGTTTTCCTTTGTCCGAAACAATATTGTCACTCTGATCATGTTGGAAAAACTCCATATCTATCTCACATACTTTCACGTTTTACAAACAGCCGTTATATGAACAAAATTATTATACTCGGTAGGAACCCGTTGCAAGTGAATAAAAAATACTTTATAGAGCTAAGTGCAGGTGTTATATCTATATGCCAATTAGCATCAATTATTATTATAATTATACGCATACTTTAGATAGGACGGGGTTATGATTACACGTAAAACATCGTTTTGAGAAGGTCAAAACGTAGTAATAACCATTAGCATATTATTATAATTTCTATAATTTTATATAAAAGATACCGATGTTTAATTTTCTTATGCAAAAATCGTTCCTCAACATTTTAGAGCTTAGCTTAGGTCAGTTAAGAATGTTGCTTATGCAAGACATGTGGTATTTTAGCAACCTCAGAGATATTGCTGGTAGTGAGGAATGAAACATTTACAAAAAATATACTTTTATTTGGACACTTTATTTGAACAGAACGTGGACCAAAGAGTAAGATAGTAAGGATGATTTTTTTTTTTTTTTGGATGGTAATTTTTTTGATGATATGTTTACAAACATATAATAATTTGAAACTGAACAAGGAGATAACAATACCCTAGGTACAAAATCTTTACATATATCGACTAATATAGTGGTATCATTTAATTTTTTGTTAGGAATACACATGCAGTATGAGCAAGACATAATTTAATAGAGCCTTGTAGGAGAACTTAGTCAAGCGATATGCTTACTGCAAAATATCGTGAAATTCCATATTAAATACTTGGTCGAAGAAAAACTACTAACTAATTTAAATAGAAAATAATGAACTAGTTTCCGTTGAACATTTTTTTTTTTATAAAATGTCGATAGCCTTTTTCTATGGGGGTTTTACTTTCGGTGACTGTTTTTCAACGTATAAATTTTCTAAATCAATCACGAATGATTACTTCGCACAGAGGCGGGTTGCTATTCGTTAGAACACTTTTCAGAATAAACATTCTATTTTCATGAAATTTTTAAAAGTACCTGAACTTAAATATCTGCAATGTTTATTCTAGTGGTTCTCTTTCATAGAAACGATATGTATTACTCAGCACATTGCTTAAATATAAATATTATAAATAAATACAAACAACTTTAAAGCAATTGATGTTCGTTTTCATTGCTTCCGCAACTATTTTTCCCAATGCTTGCACGCTTTTGAGGTCATCGATCATCTACCTATCTTTTCTTTTGTCTACCTTTAGTTTATTTCTCCTATGCCTATTTCTTTAAAGCTGTTATCGGTGTTTTTTGATTTAGCATTCATGCCACGTGCCTTTCGAAATAGTTTTATTTACTAAAAAGATACAAGGTCCCGATGGCACCGCCGCTGCAAATATCTAGGGCTCATCCTGAATAGGAAGCTTTTATGGAAGACGAATATCGAAGAGGGAGCAAAAAATGTAACGATTCCTGAAATTTCTCAAGAGTTTTTGAGATAGAAAATAATAGTCGGGACACGTGAAATCACTGAAATTAAAATTCAACCAATTGCCTGCACTTTGGCTCACGATACTATGACGAAAATTAGCAAACGAACGAAAACGCGTGCGAATTCGATTGCGGTCTAATARCAATTGCTTCTTTATTTCATTTCAGATAAYTGCTTAGCCTAAATCTTAAAACTAACGGCTTAAACTAGTGGTAATGTTAATATGTATTAAAAAAAAGGGGTAAGTATAATAATTCTCAACTTTCGTTAATT